AAAACAGGACTGACATTGGGGTTGGGGGGAGACTGAGAAAGATGGGTTCAATAATGTATACTGCATTGAAACAGATGAGGGAGAAAACTGTTTAAGAGGGATATGTGATTAGGTATTTTTGTCATGACAGGAGTCCAGAGCAAAGGCTGTATAGTGCAGTGGGCCTGGGGGGAGGGTTTGTAAAACAATGAAAGAATTTTTCTTTTACTTTTCCAAGAGGGTAGTGTACTAGGGGGGAGGGATGGGAGGGGAGAAAAGTGCAATAATGAATGAATGGAAATCCAAAGTCCATGTAAATTTTCATTGAAATTAATAATAAATTAAAAAGATAATTTACAAAGTTATTGCTCCTGCATGCATAGTATTCCATTGGTGAATGTACCATAACTTCTCAATCCATTCATTTGTAGTTGGACATCTGGGCTGTTCTTAATGGTGAATAATGCTATGAACATTGGTGTACAACTGAATTCCTCTTTTATCACCATTGACTCTTTTTTCCCCCCTTGATGCTTGCTTTTGCTCATAATACCATTAAAAATAGGGAGAAGAAGGGGGAGGGAAGCAAGTAGGGGAAAGAAAATGTAAAATAGAGGAAAAACCCAACCAAAGCCTTATATAGAAACACTACCCCCAGCTGAGCTCAGGACTTAGGACGCCAGCCCCCAGCCCCAGCCGCAAAAATACCTTAAACAAACCCTGTCAATATAGAGAGGGTAGGACAGGGAGGGGCTATGTACTGGGGCAGGCCAAGACGCTCAAGCCCACTGGCCCACCAGGACCACGGGTGCTATTCCCCGGGACAGGCTGGCCCTCCGGTGCTGCTGGGACATCTGCAACTGGGCAGGTGGTGACAGCTGTAGGCAGCATGAGGTAGCTCAAATTAAGATGGGTCTGCTTGGTTCCGCCTCACCACTCGATTTCTCCTCACGTTGGGCCAGCTGCCTGCCTGTTCATGGCAGTGGCCTTGGCCTCGAAAGATGTCACGTCTTTGACACAGCTGTTTCTCTGGAGGACCATGGGCGTGGGCAGCATGTTCTCTGGGGTATATCCCTGCACCCAGGGTTCCTGCAAGACCTGGGAGGCATTCAGCCTTTGCTTGGCATCTCACACGAGGAGCACAGAGATGAGGTCTTTGGCGGCAAAGGAGATGTGGGCCCCAGTCCTTGTCAAGGAACTCGTACTTGTCCTCTTGGATGCTCTCAAACAGCATGTTCTGGCATGCGGAGCGGGCCACTCTGCGGTCCCAGCCACAGTCTCTGCCACAGTGGCCCATGAAGGGTGGGTAGTCACTGAGCAGGATGTAGAAGATGATGCCCAGGCTCCCCCAGACACAGTGCTTGTCCTAGATGCTGGCCTCCCCACTGAAGGCCTCCACCACCTCAGCGGCCATGCACTCGGCAGAACCCTGTGGAGTGAGCAGCTCTGGCATGGAGATGGGGGAGCAGTCCCCACTGAGCTTGATGCCACTTCCCAGGTCAAAGTCACAAAATCTTCACAGGGGAGCCTAGTTGGGGTGCTCACACGGGATGAGGTCCCAGTGGGGAATGCCTTTGTTGTGCAGGAAGTCCAGGGCACTGGCTATGTCCTGCACCACCATGCTGGTCTCCAACTCACTGAAGTCCTGATGCTGGTGGATGTGTCTCACAATGGAGCCTCCCTGCATCTTTTCAAACACCAGGTAGAAGCAGTCTTCCTCCTCAAAGAACTCTATCAGTTCCAGAACATTCCTATGTCCCTGGCACTGGTACAGCGTTTCCACTTCCTGGAACACCCTGCCCTGGATGTGCCCCAGCTGCTTTTCAATGATCTTGACTGCATACTCCTGGCTGGAGATGAGGCTGATGCAGATCTGCACTCAGGGGTGTGCGTCCTCACCTAGCATGTCCTCCTGCAGCTGGTACACATTTTCAAAGGGTCTTGAAAAGCTGTAGGTGGTCCTCACCACTTCTTCTTCTTCCCCCTCTTTTGGCATCCAGGATGTCGAAAGGCACACCAGGGCAAGCCAGGCTGAAGTTGGTATTCCCACCCTCGTCCTCAAGGTGGGCTTGGTCTAGGCAGAAGACCAGGTAGAGAGGATTCAGCCCCTTGAACAAGCAGAAGCCCTCTTTCTCTGTCGTTTTCTTCTGCACCATCTTCCATCCAGGCCCCGCCAGCGGGGAAGGAGCCGCAGGGCCCCAGGGGCACATAACACAGGAAGAAAGATTGGCCATCCACTTCTAAAATATAACAAGCTTTTGAAAACCCTTTGGATAAAAAAAATAAAATAAAACCCTTTGTATGATAGAGAGCACACAAGTTGTTGTTATCTGACGTCAAGTCACCTGCAACTCATAACAATCCTACCCTAAATCCTGCTTTATCCTGTGCCAATCTTATTGTCTCTGACACACCTATCCCCATTACCCCAATCACTGAATCAATCCATCTCATTGAAGGTCTTCCTCTCTTGTGCTGTCCCTCCATTCTCCTGAGCAAAATGTCCCTCTCAAAGGATTGGTCTCGTCTTGCAACATGTCCAAAGTATGTTAGACGAAGCTTCAGAATTCTTGCTTCAGAATCTCTCTAGGATGAACTTGTTTGTTCTCCTAGCAGTCCACGGTATATTCAATACTTGTCTCCAGCACCACAGTTCAATGGCGTCAATTCTCTTTCTATCATTCCTAGTCACGGTCATAGAATATCATATAATAATATCATATCATAATAATATCATAATATCATATAATAATATAGGATGTTGTTGTTATTGATTGCCTTTGAATCGAGCAACTCATGGCAACCTTATGAATAAAAGACCCCTCTACAACTATTGACATTTATCAAAGTTCATAAAGTTTCTAGAAGCATGTTGTTTAAGAATTAGATATATAATACACGGCAACTGAGGCTGAACCCTTAAATTTGGAAACACAAAAGAGAAGGAACAGTTGTAAGCAGAAACTAATGATTGGAGCGTGGAATGTGAGAAGCACGAATGTAGGAAAACTGGACATAATTAAGAAAGAAATGTTGTTACATGCTGTCGAGTTGCCTATGACTCATAGCGACCCTATGTACAACAGCTCTAAACCCTGCTCTATCCTCTGCCAATCTTATTATCTATGACTTTGCATAGTCAATGAAACACTGACATTGCTCCGGTACTCCCTGCTTTCAGCTAAGATCCATCTAATATTGGCTATAATATCCCTAATACCATGGCCTCTTCTAAATCCAGCCTGTACATCTGCCAGTTTTCTGCTGATGTACTGTTCCAGTTGTTTCTATAAACTTTAATTGAAATCATAATATAATACAGGTTTTAAAAAAAAAATCTGGGACTCTTCATTGATTTCCAGTTCAGATGACCTGGAAATTTTTATCTTTCAGAGGACACCTCAGATAATCTGCACATGGAACTTGGCATGAGTTCCCAGATCTTCTGTGGACCCTTGAATCAGTCTCCACCCAAAGGAGTATAACTGGTTTTACAAACAACAACCCACTCCAGCAGGAAGGAAATAAAGTGATCATCATCCCCACTCCCCTAACAGCAGTGAGAGCTCCCATCCCAGAAGGCTGCAGGTCCTCGACCAAGAAGAAGCCTTCCACTATACTGTCTCACCAGCAAAATCTATTATGCCCCTTAATTTGCTTTATCAAATATACACATTAACTATAAAAAAAAATCTGTTGTTCATAGGGTCACTATGAATCATAGTAACCTTGAAGACACATACAACAGTATCTGAATATATTGTGAGAAATCAACCAAGCAGAATGGAATTTTTCCACTGATTTCTATTTTGCAGATAGTCATCAGGTATATACCTACCTAGTCATAATAGTTTGCCTGTCTGGACGTACATCTAGTAAAATTTTCATTATCTGAGGCTCAAATCCCATGTCCAGCATCTTGTCTGCTTCATCTAAAACCTGCATTAAAAATGAAGAATGTGGCTAGTTTATTATGTCTCACTTTAGGAGTGAAATGCTAACAGATATGTTTTCTCATTTCTCCAGTTGCCTAAACCACAGATGAGGTAAATGAACTTCCTTTTCTCTAACTCTCACACACAATAAATCAGCAGAATTAGAGTTTAAGCTTCTCTAATTCCAAAGCTCAAATTTCCTAGCACTATATAGCAAGTATATTGTTTATGAAAAGCTATTTTTAAAAAACTTAGCTTCTGTTTTAATTCTCCATGGAGGTCAACCAAGGCATCTGAAGTTACAAGTAACTCTGATTGAATTTATTTTTTTTTAGTTAACAAGTAGTTACCAAATCTATTTAATTATTTTACTATTTAAAATATTTAAAGGAATTAGCATTTTTCCTTATGCTTGCAACAGTTTCCAAAGTTCCTACAATAAAGATGTAGGAAAAGATGTACATTTTTAAAGCTATCATTTTAAAATCAGAATTATCTTTAAAAATTCTTATTTTTAACATGGCAAAGGAAATGGGGAAATAGAACCTAAAGCCTTTACAAAATGAACAGCCATTCTAAAAAGCTGTTATAATAAGCCTTCAGTTCTTCCTCTCAGTATCCCAAACCCCTACTACTCAATAATTACCAAGTAGGTTATGCTTTTCAGGTTGACAAAGTCATTCATTTGCAGATCATTCAATCTTCCAGGAGTGGCAATAACGATATCTACACCTTTTGTAAGGTCCTGTATTTGTCCGTCTCTATCTCCACCACCATATATACAAACACTTAATGACAGTAACAAAAACAAAAATCAAAAGTTCATGCTCACACAAAAATCCCATACAACCCAAAATCCCAACCAACATAAGCATCTTGGTTATACAATAATAAAAAGTGTTTAAATTTTAGAGAAGATCAGATACTTTTGGTTGTATCTACCCCTTTCTGAGAGTGATCCACAACCCAGGACTGGGTCCCAAAGAGGTACATTTATATTACTACTACCTGACCTCACCACCATCCCTACAAATAATACTGACAAAGAAATACCTGACCCAATTTGAGCCAATCAGCTTCTAAACTAAGAGGATGTATAAAGTCACAGTAATTAAAATATTAGTACAGGAATGGTCAAATAAATGGATTACCTTTTGAGACCTTTATATGAATACTTAGAACATTCAGCTTCTACTTGAAGAGCTAATTCTCTAGTAGGTGTCAGGACTAGCATGCCAGGTCCAAGCCTTTTACCTCTAGCTCTTTGGAAAGAAAAGAAAATTATTAAGTTATATGAATTTAAATATATTAAGCATAATACATGAACTCAGTGCTTTCAAGATGTGTGATATTGAGTATTAAAACACAATTCCAGATATATTTACACCTTTTCTAAAGTGTATGACAAAATAGGTTCTTAGATGTTTATAGCCTTTGATTTATTAATAATTCACACTCCCTTCCCCATTAAGTAGCTGATATGAATACATGCCAAAATGCTTTCCTTTAAGAATTATTTTACAAGAGTTTTAATGAACATTATTTTACTAAGATTTAAAAGTGAACAACTTTGTGATGTTTGTTATTGTTATGTGCTGTCTAGTTGCTTGCAACTCAACTTTACTGTCTCTGATACCTATCCTCATTACCGCAGTCACTGAATCAATCCATTTCATTGAGGGTTTTCCTCTATTTCTCTGTCCCTTCATCGTCCCAAGCGTGATGTCCCTCTCCAAGGACTGGTCTCACTTTACAACATGCCCAAAGTACATCAGACAAAGCCTCAGAATCCTTGCCTCCAAGGAGCAGCCTGGTTTCACCCTCTCAAGGCTGAACCTGTTTGTTCTTCTAGCAGTCCATGGTATATTCAACACTCCAGCACCACACCTCAAAGGCATTAATTCTCTTTCTATCATCCCTAGTCATTGCCCAGATCTCTGATGTCTAGCAAGAAACTGAAAAGACTATGGCCTGGATCAAGTGCACCATAGTCTCCAGACTGACATTGTTGCTCTTCAGTACTCTGGAAAGGTCCCTAACAGCAGACTTCCCAATGCAATTGTCTCTTGATTTCCTAGTTGTTGGTACCAAGAGTGTTGACTGCAGAGCCAAGCAAATGAAAGCTGTTAATCTCAATTATTTCACCATCTATTATAATGGTGCCAACCAGCCCAGTGGTGAGAATCTTCGTTTTCTTGATGTTGAGCTTCAATCCATATTGACCTTATGCAGCAAGTGCTGCATACAGCAGGTTGTTGAGTCCTCGTCCAATTCTGATACCACATTCCTTCTCATAGAGCCCCACCTCCAGGCTATGTTTTGCATATAAATTGAAAAGGTACAGAGACAAGATCACTGGCATACACCCTTCTAGATTTTTAACCACGCAGTATCTCCTTGCTCAGTTCTGACTGCTGCCTCCTGGTCCAAGTATGTTGTTATGTATCATCGAGTTGCCTGCAACTCACAGCAACCCTATGTAAAACAGCCCTAAACTCTGCTCTACCCTGTGCCAATCTCATTGTCTCTGGCACACCTACCCACCCCATGACCAAAGTCACTGAATCAATCCATCTTGTCGAGGGTCTTCCTCTCTAGCGCTGTCCCTCCACCCTATAGGTTTTGCATAAGCACAATCAAGTGTTTAGGGATTCCCATTCTCAGAGTCAGCCACAGTTTGTTGTGATCCACACAGTCATACACAAAGTCAATGAAACACAGATAGACATTCTTCTGGCACTCTCTGCTTTCAGCCAAGATCCATCTAATATTAACTATAATATCCCTACATAACTTAGTGACAGGATTTTATAAATTATCTCTGGTTATATAAATATTCAGTATGATCATAAAAGTGGAGAAATACACAAAAGCAGCCACATAAACACACACACTCACACACACACACACACACACACACACGAGCCACAGTCTAAACAATACCTTTGAAATATAATCAGAAATTTATAGATCATTTAAAACAAAACTGGGTTAATTTATATAGCCTACTTTTTAATTTAAACAACATGTTCTAAAATTAAGAAAAGCATGTGTCAGGGTTGTATCCTTTCTCCATACCTACTCGATCTCTATGCTAAGCAAAACTATTTGAGAAGCTGTACTCTATGAAACAGAATGTGGCATCAGGATTGGAAGAAGACTCATCAAAAACCTTCAGTATGCAGATGACACAATCTTGCTTTCTGAAAGTGAAGAGGACTTGAAACACTTGCTGCAGAAGATCAAACACTGTAGCCTTCAATATGGATTGCATCGCAATGTCAAGAAAACAAAAATTCTCACCACTGGAATGATAGGCAACATCATGATAGATGGAAAAAAGAATGAAATGGCCATCAATTTCATTTTATTTAGATCCACAATCAATACACTTGGTACCAGCAGTTAGGAGATCAGGAGATGTACAGCCCTGGGAAAGCATGCAATCAGGGATCTCTCCAAATTACTTAGGAGCAATGAGGTGCACTCGACTCAGGCTATAGACTTTTAAAATCACTTGCTATGCTCTGGTGGTCTAGTGTCAAGAAGCTGTGCTGAAATCCCAAAGGCACACAGTTTGAATCCACCAGCTCCTCCGAGGGAGAAAGACAGGCAATCATCTCCTGTGCAATTAACTGTCTCTGAAAACCTGCCGGACGGTCAGCTATGGGTTGGTTCCAAATTCACGGTACACAACAACATGCATCTGAAAGCTGGATATTGAGTAAGAATGTTATGAGCCATCGAGTCACTTGTGACCCATAGGGACCCTATGTACAACAACTCTGAAGCCTGCCCTGTCTTGAGCCAGTCTCACTGATTCCAACACATCAAATCCCATTGCCCCAGTTACTCTATCAATCTGTCTCATCCAGAGTTTTCCTCTCCTGGGCAGTCCCTCCACCCTTCCAAGCATGATGTCCTTCTCCAAGAATCGGTCCCTCTTGGCCAAGTGTCCAAAATATGTGAGATGGAGCTTCAAAATCCTAGCCTCCAAGGAGAAACTTGGTTTCACCCTCTCCAAGACAGACCTACCTGTCTTTTTGGTGGCCCATGGTACCTTCAAGACTCCTGTTAAATCTGGCCTTTATTAAAAACAATTTTGTTTTGTTTACCATTTTTCGCTTTCTCTAAGACCATCTATTGGGTCCCATGTTAGAATATTTGGCAGTGGTAGCTGTGCATCATCTAATTCTGGTCTCAGCACAGATGAGGCTGTGGTTCATGTAGGCAACTGGTCCTACAGACTAGTTTCTTCTTTGAGCCTTTAGTTGGTTTCTTACTTTTTTTTCCTTCCAAATGAGTAGAAATGGATAACTGTATCTCAGATGGCTGCTCACAGCTTTTAAAACCACAGAAGTTACTTGCCAAACTAGGATGCAGACGATAAACTTTATAGACTATGTAATATTACTTGACTACATTTTTTAACAGATTTATATAAGTCTTCAGACTTCAAACACAGTAAGGTGTTTGGTTTTATCTCTGGGAAGATCTGTATCACTTCTATGCTTTATCATATATATATATATATATACACACACACACGTGTGTGTGTGTAAATGTGTATTTTTTCATATGAATAGATATTAATTCTTTATAGCTGTGTAGTATTGAGCTTGAGCTTACTGTTAAGGTCAATACTGCACAGCTATAAAAAAATTATAGAATCACTCATGAAACATAACATAGTTGAATCTTATGTTGAATGAAAGAATAAAAAAGGATAAATATTGTATGATTCTATGTTTATAAAATGGGGTACTGAGAATCCCATGGACTGCAAAAAGAATAAACAGGTATTTCAGAGAAAGTGCAGTCAGAGTACTCCTTGGAGGCAAAGATGACAAAGTTTTATATTACATACTTGGGCATGTTTCTAGGAGTGGCTTCAAGCAGGGCATTAAGACTGGAAAGGTGGAGGAATGGAAAAGGAGAGGAAGACTCTCAGCCAGACGGATTGACACAGTGACTGCAGCAACGGGCTCAAGTGTGTCAGGGATGGTGAGGATGCTCCAGGAGAGGACAGGGTTCACATCTGTTGTTCACAGGGTCACTATGAGCTGTACTTGCCTCAATAGCAACTAACGACAGTATTGACCAATTTCTCTTTTAAGCAATAGATCAAAGAAACTGTAAATGCATTTTCACTGTTTATGATATATTGAAAAGAGCCCTGGTGGCACAGTATGCACTTTATCAGGCTGCTAATTAAAACTTAGAGAGGACAACCCTCAATGAGACAGACTGACACAGTGACTAACAACAAGCTGCAGCATATCATAGACAGTGAGGGTGGTGCAGCGTAAGACAGGGTTCAGATCTGTTGTTCCCTGGGTCACGATGAGATGGAGTCTATTCGACAGCACCTAACAACAACAATAGCAACAACTGAAGACTAGCAGCTGAAATCCACCTCCCACTCCTCAGGAGAAAGATGAGCAAATTCTTCCCATAAAGACTGAAAGCTTCAGAAACCTGATGTGATGGAGGGTCCAATGAGTCAGAAGTGACTTAACAACAGTGGGCTGGGTTTTGATACATTAAACCTCTAAAAAGAGGATGCAATTGTAGGAAATCTTACAGTGGCTGAGAGTCAAGATGAATAAATCCAGGCATTAAATAGGACAGTGTCTTCCCCGTTCCAGTTTGGGCTACTCCTATAAGATCTATTCCTTGAAGAACTATTGGCCATGTCTGTGACTGAAACAGAATGATAAGGATTAAAACAAAAAAGACATCTCTTTCCGCCAGATGCCACTCTTCTCCAAATTCAAAACTGCTTTCAACAAACATGTGTGTTCAAATGTCCCTGAGTGGCACAATTTGTGCTCAACTGTTAAGCATCTGAGAAGTCAATTACCTGTTTCTGTGAAGATCACAGTCAAGAAAACTCAATTGAGCTATTTCACTCTGTAACACCTGCCACTGTCATGAGCCAGAACCAACTGAATTGGTTTTAGGAGATGGTATGGGGGTGATCAGAAGAAACGGGTGTGTCTTCATTATTTAACATCTAACAAATAGCATTGTTTTGGAAAACAACCTTGGTGAAAATGTTAGAGTTAACGAAAGCATACCTGAATTGGTGTTGGCTTTTGAAAACCTGCCCTTTTTATATTTTCCATAATGTCAGGATAACACTGAAAAGCATCCTCAAATTTACAGGTAGGATTAGGGATACAACGCTTCTCACCATCTTTCAAGTCATCACACATCACATTATAATTCTCCTTCCTTTAAAGAAAAATAGAACAAAACCCTATGGCTGTAGTGATTTTACTCACTAAGAACGTCTCCAAAAACTAAATGAAGCCACATTTAGAAAGTCAACTGCAAAGGATTAAAATAAGTTATCATAGAAATGACAGTGAAATGTAGTAACTAACAAGTAACAATCTACTTCTTTTTCTTATCTAACAATAGATGCAGATGGGAGGGGGGAAAATGAAACTTAGATTATAAATATGAGGAATCCAACCAAAGTTTCATGGATGGGCTATGAAGAGCTATGCAGCACGCAGGAGCAATGGTTTTATAATTTACTACCTAACATGGGAGGGACTGGAGACCATTATGCTAAGTGAACTAACTCAGTCTCATCAAGACAAATACTGTATAAGGCCATTATTGTGGAACAAATATAAGGATCCAAGGAGGAAAGGGAGGTCTTAATCTTAGGGGCACACAATTTGACGGATGGAGGGAGGGATGGGGAAAGGAAAGGGGAAATATCCAGTGTGAAAAACAATATATACAAACTTTGTAAGTAAACCAGTATTACAAAAATTTGGGGCAAGATTTGGTGGCCTAGTGGCAAGAAGCTGCACTGCAATCCCAGAGGAGGAACAATCTCCTCCTGTACCAGTCAGATCTGATTTAATGGTACACAGACATAACACACAAATAAAATAAATTTTTTAAAAATTGGACATTAAACAAATAAGCTTTATAATTCAAAATTGGATTTCCCAGGACTTGAGGGACTAAAAGGTTCTAGAATCTATACTGGAGTTCATACACTTTCTTAATTAAACCTAATCAATACCAGAAAGTAGGAATTATTTTAACATGGCAGGACAGCATCTGTTACTTACCAAAGCTCTGAGCTCTAGCCTACCTTAATGAGTTAATTCAAAACAAGTAATTATATAAGCAGCTCACTTTATAAAGTAATAAAAAACAAAACTACCCACCTCCAATGGTCTATCTGCATTTGGGACATAGAGCTTGTTTCTGCTGACTCTATGTAAAAGTTTTTCTTAATTGGAGGTAAATCTTGGAAAGAGATAAAAAATCAAATTGGATAAATATGAAAATTACAGCTTATTAATTAACAGAAGTACACAATCTATGCTCACTCTCTATATATCTTTGGGCAGTCTATATTTGCCAAATTTCATGCCTGTCTATAAAATCTTTTTTCATTCGCTTTAAATTATATACTTCATAATTTATATATACTAATTTTATATACTTCAGAATTTATTAAATACTTGAGCACCACAACAAGATAAAGGTAAATAATCCAATAGAAAAATGGGCACAGGATATGAACAGGCACTTCACCGAAGACGACATTCAGATGGCTAACAAACACATGAAGAAATGCTCAAAATCCCTAGCCCTAAGAGAGATGCAAATTAAAACAACTATGAGATATCATTTCACCCCAGTCAAAATAGCAAAATTTAACAGAACAGCAAGCAACAAATGCTGGTGAGGTTGTGGAGAAACTGGAACCCTGATTCACTGTTGGTGGGAGTGTAAAATGGTGCAACCCCTGTGGAAAGCAGTATGGCGCTTTCTCAAAAAGTTGCAAATAGAGATACCATTTGACCCAGCAATTCCACTACTGGGAATATACCCTGAAGAGACCATAGCTGACATCCAAGCAGATATATGCACACCCATGTTTATTGCAGCTTTGTTCACAATAGCAAGGAGCTGGAAACAACCTAAGTGCCCATCAACAAACGAATGGATAGAGAAGCTGTGGTATATTCGCACAATGGAATACTATGCTGCATTAAAAAACAAGGAACTCATGCAATATTATTCAAAATGGTTGACTCTGGAGAACATTATGCTGAGTGAAATATCCTAGTCACAAAAGGACAAATATTACATGATGCCACTGTTGTAGAATGGGACTGTCTTTGGGGTTGGGGAGAGACTGAGTAAGATGGGTTCAATAATGTATACTGCACTGAAACAGAGGAGGGAGAAAACTGTTTAAAAGAGATATATAACTAGGTATTTCTGTCATCACAGGAGACTAGAGCGAGGGCTACATGGTGGAGGGGACCTGGGGAGGGTTTGTAAAACAATGAAAGAATCTTTTCTTTTACTTTTCCATAATTTTTGGACTCATGTACTTATAACTTGTTAGTCAAATTTGTGTCTTCTAGGTTGCAACACCCCCATGATACATCTTCAAGGATATGAACATGTACGGCCAAGCACAATCAATAAGAGTACATCTAAATTCCAAAATCAATCTCCATAATAGTCTATGTGTTTCCTACTGCCAAAGGGGCCCTTTAGAGTAGTGAGAGAAGATCTTCACCCTGAAACCCACAGCGTCCCTTTTCAGCAGGAAGTAGCTAAGAGAATACGCCATCCCCTTTTCCTTATGAATCAGGGTGAAGTCTCTCTCAGGGAGGAGTGATAGGGAATGGCAAAGGATCCACTGACAAAGAAGATTAATCAGAACTGGCTTTGACAAGCACTGTGGCATTTGGACAAGAACAAACTGGGAGGAGGGTAGAGAGAATAGTGCAACAATGAATGAATGGAAACCCAAAATCTCTGTAAATGTTTATGAAAATTAATAAAATATAATTATAGAAAAAAATTATATACTTCAAAAAGAGATTAATATTAGGTTTTAAACTTTAAAAAAAAACAAACCCAAAAGCATACCTTATAAGACAGAATATCCACACTCAGTGAAGCCTCCCTCATTGTTACGTGCTCTCAAATCGACTACAACTCACAGCAACAATTGACTATCCTGAGCCAACTGCACTGTCTCTGATACACTGTCCCCATTACCACAGTCTCTATGTCAATCTATCTCATCTCTTCCTTTTCTGCACTGACCTTCTACCCTTCGAAGCATGCTATCCTTCTCCAAAGACTGGTCCCTACTGGCCAACATGCCCAAAGTGTGACAGATGGAGCTTCAAAATCCTTGCCTCCAAGGAGTAAAGTGGTTTCACTCTCTCCAGGGCTGACTTATTTGTTCTCTTGGCAGTCCATGGTATATTCAGTCCTCTTCTCCAGCACCACAAATCAAAGGCATCAATTCTTCTGTCAGCCTTAGTCATTATCCATCTTTCAGATGCATAGCAAGCAACTGAGAAAACCATGGCCTAGATCAGGTGCACCTGCACCTTAGTCTCTTAATTGACATCACTGCACTTTAGCACTCTGGAGAGATCCTTGACTGCAGATTTTCCCAATGTAACTCACCTTTGATTTCCTGGATGCTAATGCCAAAAATGTTGTTTATTAAAAAATTTTATTTCATTTTTTACATTTCTTCCCTTTAATTTTCTATCCTTTTTTAAATTTTATATTGGCTTATTTACAAAGTTCAAATACAGTTTTTCACAACAGATCTTTCCCATTTCCTTCACCCTTGTCCCACTAAATTGTGTGACTTTAAGAATAACCACCCCACCCTGCCCATCCTCACCTCTTTGCTTCCACCCTCCCCCCCCATTGGATCCTCATTCTCACTCTACAATAATGGTCTTATATAATATTTGTCCTTATCGGACTGAGTTAGTTCACTTAGCATAATGATCTCTAGTTCTTGCCTCCCCCCAAAAAAAACCTCACAGTATTTGCAATGAATAAAACATGGATTGTATAAAGAAGAATGTTGATTATGGATTCAAGCAAGATTAAATCATTAAAAACCTAAATCCTTTCTCCATCTATCATGATATTGCCTGCTGGCCCAGTGGTAAGGATCTGTTTTGATGCAATCCATATTGAAGGCTTGACCTTTGCCAGTAAATGCTTAAACTCCTCCTCAGTTTCTGTTTTTTTTATTTTATTTATTCCTCCTCAGTTTCTGTGAGCAAGGTTGTGGCATCTCCATAATGAAGATTATTGATGAGTCTTTCTCCAATCCTGACGCCACATCCTTCTTCATAATGTCCAATCTCTCCAATGACCTGTTCTGCACATAGACTGAAAAGTTATGGGAAAAGGATAAACCCCTGATGCACTCCTTTCTTGATCTGAACCATTCAGTGTTGACTTGCTGTGTTTGGACAACAGGCTTCCAGTCTAGGTGTAGGTTTCACATGAGCACAGTCAGGTGTTCTGGGATTCTCATTCTTCTCAACCTTAGCCAAAATCTATTGTGATCTACCTACATTGTTGTAATCAACGATGTTGTGAGAAACATTGTGTGAGTTCTTCCCTTTTTTTCTTTCTTTAAAATCCATTCCATTTCAGGAATTAAATTTACATACTCATTTGATCCTCCAAAAGCTACTTTAAAAAAATGTTTATTTTTTAAGTTGTGATCTGAATGTAAATTTATAAAGCAAATTGGTTTTTTTTTTAATTCCATTCATTCATTGTTGCACCCTTCTCCCCAACCACACCACCTCCACCCCTCCACCCCCGTTTGCTCCTCTCCTTGAAAAGCAAAAGAAAAACTCCCTCATTGGTACACAATCCCCCC